TCATTTTTCACTTGCTTCATACTGACCGTTAGACAAAGACCATTAAAGCAGCACATTTTGCACTCTTATTCTGATTTTATCTACTTTTTTTGTGTTCAGTGTTCAAAAATGAGTTAAACATCTACATTAGATACCACAAACACAAATAGAAAACCAGAAAAATCTGTCAGAGAGAAAGTAAGCATGCTACTTTTGTAAAAATATTGAAACAACTGAAAAAGTTCAATTTTGGGCATGTAGGCTGAAATGTCACTTTTTTACAAAATTTCTATCAAATAAAAGTGGAAATCATTTATTCTCATGTAGTTTGACAAATTAATACCAATAGATCATTCAGTGAAGTTGTCAAAGTACAAATTCAATATTTCCTGAATTCACCTCTTAGGCCACAGACCACAATTAAATTCCCCTATTAGTTCTTTATAACGTTTTGTTTCATTAAAAAAATTGCACCTTGCATTTTTGTCAAATCTTTTGTGTGTGTAATGTATAGTACTAGTCCAAAAATATATCCAAAATTCAGAAAGATTGAACCAATGACTCTTACAAATTTAGCCAATACACATCCATACCCCTATGGACAAGTCAAGAGATGTTCCGAAAACTGTAAATATCACCTTTTTGCACCTGGCCTAATCACTCTTTCCATATCAAAATCAGTTAAAATACAACATCCAAAAGTTTATTTCACCTCTCTTCTTTTATTTCCACCCACAAAAAACTAAGAAATGAGTGAGGAAGGGAAAGAAAAAAAATTAAGAAAAAATACACTCTAATTAAAAGGAACTATATTCGTGGACAACGAAAAGCGGGATCATTAATTGTGGTCTTGGGCCTATTAGGGGTCTAAAACTTGACCAATTCTAATAAAACTTGGCATGATTTAAGCTTAGTGTATTATAAAACAGTTTACAAAGTTTCAAAGCCATATGATACCAATTATAAAAAATGTGGCATTTTTTATATCTGAACTTTGGGTGCTGAATTGTGGCGTTGAATTTGAACAATTTCAACTATCAAATTTGGGCTTCTAAAAACCAAAATATACCAAAACTTACATTTTTTAATGTTTCTATGTATAAGTTATCACCTATTAAAAGCAACAGATAGCATACTTCATGTTTCAGACTTATAAAAAATGGCCAGAAGTAAATTTTATATGAGCCTGTGCCAAAAAATAGAGGTTTTCAAATGATGTGAGGCCTTATATGAAATGTAATATTTTTCACTTACCACAATTTTCTGAAGTTGTTAAGTTATAAAAAAACCTTTTACATGTTATAAATGTACTTTTAATGGAAATATTAGTTTCAAATAGCATAACACATGTGAATAAAATTGTCTTCAGCAATGTCAAGCTTAAAAAAACAGGTTGTCAATTTAGGTCGTTCCCCACATTTGCATATTAAAAAGCATATAAATGATATGGTAGGTAGAGATATGCTTCTTTTTGCTCAAATCTTTGTTTAGATATGATAAAACATGGAGCCTGGATGTAACATGACTGTCACTTTCAACTATATATGTAGACAGTATGATTTGAAGCAAAGTTATTTACTTTACTTTTTAAAATCGGCATGAAATTTCAGCCTCAAAAGGCCAATATTTTAACCACTAGCTATCAAACAAAATAAAATAAAGGTAGTCTGTGAAACAGACAAGGTCAAACAACCAGTAATAAGTGCTTTTGATACAGATTCAGTGAAATCTGCTAAAAGGAATTCAACTTGTATGTGCATAGAACCTCATTTTTCACTTGCTTCATACTGACCGTTAGACAAAGACCATTAAAGCAGCACATTTTGCACTCTTATTCTGATTTTATCTACTTTTTTTGTGTTCAGTGTTCAAAAATGAGTTAAACATCTACATTAGATACCACAAACACAAATAGAAAACCAGAAAAATCTGTCAGAGAGAAAGTAAGCATGCTACTTTTGTAAAAATATTGAAACAACTGAAAAAGTTCAATTTTGGGCATGTAGGCTGAAATGTCACTTTTTTACAAAATTTCTATCAAATAAAAGTGGAAATCATTTATTCTCATGTAGTTTGACAAATTAATACCAATAGATCATTCAGTGAAGTTGTCAAAGTACAAATTCAATATTTCCTGAATTCACCTCTTAGGCCACAGACCACAATTAAATTCCCCTATTAGTTCTTTATAACGTTTTGTTTCATTAAAAAAATTGCACCTTGCATTTTTGTCAAATCTTTTGTGTGTGTAATGTATAGTACTAGTCCAAAAATATATCCAAAATTCAGAAAGATTGAACCAATGACTCTTACAAATTTAGCCAATACACATCCATACCCCTATGGACAAGTCAAGAGATGTTCCGAAAACTGTAAATATCACCTTTTTGCACCTGGCCTAATCACTCTTTCCATATCAAAATCAGTTAAAATACAACATCCAAAAGTTTATTTCACCTCTCTTCTTTTATTTCCACCCACAAAAAACTAAGAAATGAGTGAGGAAGGGAAAGAAAAAAAATTAAGAAAAAATACACTCTAATTAAAAGGAACTATATTCGTGGACAACGAAAAGCGGGATCATTAATTGTGGTCTTGGGCCTATTAGGGGTCTAAAACTTGACCAATTCTAATAAAACTTGGCATGATTTAAGCTTAGTGTATTATAAAACAGTTTACAAAGTTTCAAAGCCATATGATACCAATTATAAAAAATGTGGCATTTTTTATATCTGAACTTTGGGTGCTGAATTGTGGCGTTGAATTTGAACAATTTCAACTATCAAATTTGGGCTTCTAAAAACCAAAATATACCAAAACTTACATTTTTTAATGTTTCTATGTATAAGTTATCACCTATTAAAAGCAACAGATAGCATACTTCATGTTTCAGACTTATAAAAAATGGCCAGAAGTAAATTTTATATGAGCCTGTGCCAAAAAATAGAGGTTTTCAAATGATGTGAGGCCTTATATGAAATGTAATATTTTTCACTTACCACAATTTTCTGAAGTTGTTAAGTTATAAAAAAACCTTTTACATGTTATAAATGTACTTTTAATGGAAATATTAGTTTCAAATAGCATAACACATGTGAATAAAATTGTCTTCAGCAATGTCAAGCTTAAAAAAACAGGTTGTCAATTTAGGTCGTTCCCCACATTTGCATATTAAAAAGCATATAAATGATATGGTAGGTAGAGATATGCTTCTTTTTGCTCAAATCTTTGTTTAGATATGATAAAACATGGAGCCTGGATGTAACATGACTGTCACTTTCAACTATATATGTAGACAGTATGATTTGAAGCAAAGTTATTTACTTTACTTTTTAAAATCGGCATGAAATTTCAGCCTCAAAAGGCCAATATTTTAACCACTAGCTATCAAACAAAATAAAATAAAGGTAGTCTGTGAAACAGACAAGGTCAAACAACCAGTAATAAGTGCTTTTGATACAGATTCAGTGAAATCTGCTAAAAGGAATTCAACTTGTATGTGCATAGAACCTCATTTTTCACTTGCTTCATACTGACCGTTAGACAAAGACCATTAAAGCAGCACATTTTGCACTCTTATTCTGATTTTATCTACTTTTTTTGTGTTCAGTGTTCAAAAATGAGTTAAACATCTACATTAGATACCACAAACACAAATAGAAAACCAGAAAAATCTGTCAGAGAGAAAGTAAGCATGCTACTTTTGTAAAAATATTGAAACAACTGAAAAAGTTCAATTTTGGGCATGTAGGCTGAAATGTCACTTTTTTACAAAATTTCTATCAAATAAAAGTGGAAATCATTTATTCTCATGTAGTTTGACAAATTAATACCAATAGATCATTCAGTGAAGTTGTCAAAGTACAAATTCAATATTTCCTGAATTCACCTCTTAGGCCACAGACCACAATTAAATTCCCCTATTAGTTCTTTATAACGTTTTGTTTCATTAAAAAAATTGCACCTTGCATTTTTGTCAAATCTTTTGTGTGTGTAATGTATAGTACTAGTCCAAAAATATATCCAAAATTCAGAAAGATTGAACCAATGACTCTTACAAATTTAGCCAATACACATCCATACCCCTATGGACAAGTCAAGAGATGTTCCGAAAACTGTAAATATCACCTTTTTGCACCTGGCCTAATCACTCTTTCCATATCAAAATCAGTTAAAATACAACATCCAAAAGTTTATTTCACCTCTCTTCTTTTATTTCCACCCACAAAAAACTAAGAAATGAGTGAGGAAGGGAAAGAAAAAAAATTAAGAAAAAATACACTCTAATTAAAAGGAACTATATTCGTGGACAACGAAAAGCGGGATCATTAATTGTGGTCTTGGGCCTATTATGCAGTACTTCGGTACTGACATGAATTTGTAACAAACCTTTCTCCGTTGACAAAATTAGAAATTATTATGAATCTTAGGTTCCAACTGCCCAGTAAGGCAAAGTTGACTTTAGATAGATTTGACTTTTATTTTTAGATCGTTTTTTTTATATCATTTATGATATAGTTCTTTACGTGTTTCGGGTTTTATACATCAATGGTTTTAAATTTTTGGCGTTAAGCGTTCCTGATATAGTAATTGAACCTGATGAAAATAGTTGGAACTATTCTTTTTTCATTGTTTACAGTAATAATTACGTACACTTTATTACTTCTCAATGCGATATTTAAGAAATAAACATGAGCATATTCGTCCAATCTAAAATGTTGTTGATGTCTTCATGTTTGTTAAAGTAACACTCGAATTCATCAATATTAAATTTAAAGTAGTTTTATATAACATAAACTTGTACATACGAGTATCCATCAGGCAATTTAATGAAAGCAGTAAGAAAGACAATTCTTTCAAACATTTCACATTGATCTTACATTTTGAGATATAATTGATAACAATGTTTTTACAATATGTGATTTTAATACAATTAAGTCAACATATTAGAGAGGACACTTAAAGTAAGTGTCTTCATTTTTCTTATATAAAATTAAATATTGTTTTTTATCTACATGTAGGCCCAGGACTTGGATTGATAGTATATCCTGAAGCTTTGGCGCAACTTCCAGGCCCAAATATATGGTCCGTTTTATTTTTTGTGATGCTGCTTACTGTCGGTTTAGACAGTCAGGTATGAAACGATTATGCTTTACCTCTTACATCATATTATATTAGGACAACAAGCGCCCATACAACCTTTATGATTTATTTGTTGTTGACAATCGACGAAAAATATAATTGTTTGAAGCAAAAAAGTATGAAAAAATCACCACAAAGCTATATATACATATACATACAAGCCTAAATTGAAAACAACGTTCAAACCTATGATTATATAAGAAAATTAATAAAAGATAATAACGGTTTCAATTCATCAGATATATTAATAATTCGTCTCGAATTTAGCCTAATAATATATACAATGAATTTTTATCAAAACATATGGTTAACATCAAAAGCAGTTTGGGGTAAATGAAAAAATGGTATAACAAATATATACAGTTGCCATTTCCATGCGGCATATAAAAAGATAACTTAGAAATGGAAAAAGTTAATGAACGGAAAAGGTTTGGAAGCTACTAAATGAGAAGACAATTATCTAAAAGATATATTCATTTGTGATGAGTGAAAGGAAGATTATACCCACGCGAAATAGATAGATCAACGTTATGAGACATTTTGAAACAACCGGGACGTTTGAAAATCTACAAAATAAACATAACTTCGTTTAACAAGTCTCTTGCCTGAACACAAACCTTAAAAATAAAACATAATTACACAATCAATTTCATAAATACTCATCCCTGAACCTTTTCCATTATCTTCTTCAGCGGTTATGCAAGCAAAGAGACTTAAACACTATATTTTGATTTTTATTTTAGTTTGCATATTGTGAAGTTGTAGTAGTTGCCTGTTCAGACAGATTTCATTGGTTACGAAGTCGTCGAGTAATGTTCGTCATGGCAGTGTGTTTTGCCAATTTTCTCTGTGGAATGTTAATGACGACAGAGGTAAATGTTATCACTTTTAATTTTCTTTGAGGAAAATTGGTATCGACAGAATTTTAATTTGCATATGAGGATTATTGATGGCGACAGAGCTATAACTTGTATAGATTTATATTGAGGATTATTAATATGGCTACATATGGCTACATATGTTTACTTTGTACACATTAATGTTCTATGTCGACAGAGGTAAACACTATTTGTTTTTGTGTGTGGTTTGTTTATGGCGACAATGACATGATATTTAATACAAAGCAGTATCTGATACTGCATGGCCATGGACATTAATAACATAAAATGATAACACATATATTTGAAACAGTAAAATTATTCAAGTGACATTTTTATAGATTTGTTAACAATTTTTTTTGACTTATCTAACGATTTAATTTAAACACGGCCAGTGAGACAACTATCCACCAGTGATCAAATGACGACGATGTTAACAACTGTAGGCCATCGTATGGCCTTCAACAAGGAGCAAAGGCTATAAAAGAAATGTAAAACAGTTCGAAAGAGGAAACCAATGGCATTATTCAGGCTAAAACCAATATACGAGAATTAATATTACAGACAGCAACCAACAGCAACTACTAAATTTCAGGCTCCTCACCTGGGATAGGCACATGCACAATGTGGCGGGATTAAACATCATGTCTGTGAGCGCTCACCCCTCGCCTCTACAGTGACAGCAGTTGTGTGACAGCATATTAACATAATCCATCCGCCGGTAAAATCAGCTAGAAAGGGCTCGAATAATCAGATCGACAGCAAAAACTGAAAAAAAGAGGCTCATCTTACAATTTATATTTAGATATAATTCAAAGCCATATCCTTAAAAAAATAATTTGCTAAAAGATGTCTTATACACAGAAGTCAATGTGGTTAAATACCTTTTTGGTAAGATTTTATTGTGCAAATAAAGTTAAGGTTCAATATGTAAATTTCAACTTGCTAATGAAATCTGATATTTTTGCGCTGTAGTGTCCATCTCGAATCATCATATTCATTTGTCGACAAAATTGTAAGGCTTGTAAAATTCCTCTATTATTGCAATTCGAGAGAGCCAAACGATGGTTCTATTGTTATTTTAATATCCTGCTCCTTTCATAGTTATAAGAAACAAAATTATTTGAATAATTTTTAACATTTTTGTTAAAAGATGTCAAAATATCTTTTTGTTTGTTTTATTCCTTTAATAGGGAGGCATATATATATTTCAAGTAATAGACTGGTATATTGCTGCATTTTGCCCAGCAGTGTTTGGTATTATAGAGTGTATTGTGTTTGGCTGGATTTATGGTATGTTTTTTTTTGTTTTGTTTGTCATCTTTATTTAGTTATTATGAATATTGTATCAATTCTTATGAAAATAGGTTTGATATATAGTACCGTACTTCGTTTACTTAAAAAAAACGAATTTAAACCATAATGTAATTTAAAGCTATAAAATTGTACAAGCAAAATAATAACTATAATAATACTAGATATAAAAATAATTTTAATCTGAATGTCATAGGGGAATAAACTGTTGACACCGAGATACGTCTCGTCTGTATGTAATTATGATAGTGAAATGAAAATATTGAAATTAAAATAGCAATTCTTTAGATTGTTGACGCCGACGCCGCAGCCGCCCTTGGAAAATGCATACCTACGTCTCGCTTGACTCTGTCAATTGTCAAGGCGGTCAAAACTAAAATTTGTATTATTTGATGAGAACAAGTATGAATGCATATATTTAATAGCTACATATACTATAAAAAAATCTTCACACAGTTGAAGAATACTATTTTTTTTTCATCTAAATTTCAGGATTGGATAGATTTTCACGTGATGTTAGACTCATGTTAGGAAGAGGGATACCAGTATTCTTTAGAATTTGCATAGGTTTCATTACACCATCAATACTTCTAGTGAGTAATTACCATTTTTTTTTTTTTTGCTTTTTGTTCAACTTCTGCATATAAATAAATACAAACAGTGATATTAAAAGACTGTACAAATATTAGGCATATCAATAATTGAAATTCAATTTCTTGTTCAACATGTAAATTTTACAATTTACCGTATAGATTGTTTCTTTTATTTGCTTGAAATCTGATTCTTGGTTCCATATGTTCTACCAGCTTCAAAATATTGAATTTCATAATAAGCTAGTGCTTATAAGTAAAGAAAGTGACTACGAATTTATGGTTCAACAAATATGTAACACGGGGAATAATAATATAATATAATTCATATCATTGTAATTTCATATTTAAAAAAATACTAATTGAGGTAAACGACTAATGGCGGTTTTTGTCTTCATCTGTTTCTGTTTCCGTTAATCTGTTAATACCGTCTGTCAGTGAAGGCACACCTCCTGGAATCCGGAGTAAGGTATAATCGTATAACTAAAACTCTGAATATCCATCACCAATTATTCACACCAGATCCATAGGAATTTATATATTAAAGTTCTTTATACACACATGTAAAATTGGTATATCCAACCTTAAAATCTAAAAAAGATGCTAAAAGCACGCTTTAGGGATATGATATTGCCAAGAGGTGATCTGACCATAAAGAAACATTTAACTATGTTTAATGCCACGCTTTCTACTCTTCATTTTTAAGAATCATCTTTTTTAAATTCACCATACTATGCTATAACATTTATACTTAAATATGTTTCACCAGTTGTTGAATACGATATGTTTCACCAGTTGTTGAATACGCACGTTTAATTATTCTATTGGGATCAATTTGATAAAACAGACAATACAAGTTGGAATTTGGTTGTATTCACCGCGAACTCAACGTTTGCAGTGTATTTTCTGAATTTCTTCCCTTGATATGTTAAACATGTGATCCTTGAACAGAACCCAATCTGCACAATATGACCTTGTACTCCCCCCCCCAAAAAGGAACGCAAAATAATGGACCGATTGCTTTGCATTGGCTCAAAATTGGTCGATAATTTCGGGTCATTACCCAGATTTTCTTTTCATGTTTAAATAGTATTTATACTTTTTTAATGTCATGGCCTATTATGGGTCATATTGAGGAATAAACAAGTTCCTATGTTTGAGTAAGGTTTACTCCAGTTAAATAAAATTCCAGAGTAAAAGTTTATAGATTATTCTACGACTCAGATCTAAAATGTTTAAGATTTTGTCAGCGAACTTGTGTGTTCACCAGCGCCTCTACGTAGTGGACATGATCACATAGCGATTTACCATTCATAGTTATAAGATTTTTGGGGACATTTCCAGTTGCACAGTAAATTCAATTACAAAACTTACATATGTTTTCCCAGGCAGTATTGGTATATAGTATTACGGCGTATCAGCCACCGACATATGGATCTTACCAATATTCAGGTGCAGCAGTAGGATTTGGCATATTTGTATCAGTTTTTCCTTTGATACCCATCATTGTTTGTGCTTTCATAGTTGTAAAAGATATGCCAGGCGAAACATACAAAAAGGTGAGTACAAACTTTATCCTGCTGCATAAAATAGCATCTATAGTTTCTTAAAAAGTTTATGTTAACTATAATTCGTCTTCTCGGTATTACATGTATATTTATCTACTTAAAATATCAGTGAACTTAGACATCTTTACAGTTAAATTGGTGTTCAACACAATACTTTAATATGCTATCATGATAAATTATATACAGGAATATTAGTCTCGGTGGCCGAGTGGTCTTAGTAGATCACCTACAATGCTCACTAGCCGGTTAACTCTTATGATGTGAGTTTGAAAGTATCGAGATGTGTTCGACTGACTCCGATATTAATTGATAAGTATTCCTAGTTTGACTGACTCCGATATTAATTGATAATAAAATTGAGAATGGAAATGGGGAATGTGTCAAAGAGACAACAACCCGACCACAGAACAGACAACAGCAGAAGGTCACCAGTTTGCCTGCCGACGGTTGGTGCAGTAAACATAAAAACACTATAAAAAACATTATCAATATCCAAGTTAAAGGCATAACATTTTAATGATTTATCTTGCTTGTGGTTTAAATCATATCTGTCAGAAAAGATTCAAAGAATTGTAATAGATAATGTAGAATCGACTACAAGAACGTTCCTCAGGATAGTATAATTGGACCTATGCTCTTTTTTATATATATAAATGATCTGCCCTTGTATTTTGATTATAACATAGTCATTCAGATTTACTGTCCATCATTTATTACTTGTTGTTCGTTATGTACAAAAATTATTTATATTACCTGGAAAGGGGGGGGGGGGGCTGGTCATTTTGAAATCAAAAATATAAAATTTTCTTGATCCCCCCATAATATTTCACTATTTTTATTTTATCCCCCCCTTTAAAATTTCAAAATAAAAGTTCTTATGTATAAAATGAATTTATTATCATGCTCCAAATTATTTATGTGATATCTTGAAATCATCTTATCAAAAATATTATTCTCTATGAAAAAATGTTTGTGCCTTGACCAAAATTTAACTTTATAAAGAAAACATTTCATTATTCAGACATAACTTCATGGAACCATCTATGCCGAGCTTAACGTTCTATTTTCAACTATGGATTTATTCAAGAAGTATCATACACATTAGTTTATGAATCGAAATGCAAGCTATACATTTTATCAATGAAAATAAAATTTAAATGTTTCAAATGATGGTTAACATTATTGTATATTATATATAGTATACAAAATGTGTTTTGTTTTTCCAATTGCATTATATGAAAGTAAATATTGTATTTATATAAAAATAAGGAGATGTGGTATGATTGCCAATAAGACAACTATCCACCAAAGTTCAGATGAAGTGGATGTTAAATCAGGCTTCTGACCTAGGACAGGCACATAAAGAATGTGGCGGGGTTAAACATGTTTGTAAGCGCTCAACCCTCCCCTAACCTGGGACAATGGTGTAACAGCACAACATAAGAACAAACTATACAAATCAGTTGAAAAGGGCTTAACTCATCAGATCGTTATAAAGCAGGAAACATCAAACAAAAACACAGACCGGACGTGGCAGGGTAATTATCCATTCCTCATCCCTAACAACAATTAAATAAAAAAATCATGTATCTAAGACTAAAATATCAATCAGTACACATCCAATGGATTAAGTGTAAAGACGTCATTAACAGTCAGAGAAAAACATGACCTTGTAAATGCCAAAATACATGTATCGACAGATTGTAGTGCTGTAATGCAGAAAAAGGGGGAGGGATCGCTGCTGTATCGAGTTGTCTCCCCTGTACCTCCAAAACGTTAATACTACTAAATATCGTGGGACTTTCATCTTTCGCTTGGGGTTTATTCACGTCTTCGTTCATTTGGGGATTCTGGCTTCTTTCGGGGTATCTGGGGAATACTAGCATCTATTCAGGTATCTGGAGAATCTAGCCCACTCATTTCCGGTCTATTTGATACCTTCTGTGGGTGTGTCCCTCATCTCGGACACTTGTTCTTTCGAGGCCTGGCGCTGGTGAATAAAATACAATGATGTTTTAATTATTTATTCCAAACAGCATTCTAAATTGAAGTGTGATATGTGATCATTTAATTTGAATAGGAAACTTTATTTTAACTTATTTATGTTAATTAAAATCTCTCTTTATAAATTTAAGTTAAAAGTTTTGAATATCAAACTTAAGTTATTAAATCAGAAGATAAATGATTACTTTAAATTTCATTTGAAAATAGTTTACACTTAAACAATATACATACCTGGTGAATAAAATACAATTATGTTTTAATTATTTATTCCAAACAGCAATCTTCATTTAAATATCAAACTAAAGTTATTAAATCAGAAGCTAAATTCTTACTTTAAAATTCAATTGAAGATAGTTTAAACTTTAACAATTAACATACCTGGTGAATAAAATACAATGATGTTTTAATTATTTATTCCAAACAGCAATCTTCATTGAAGTGTGATATGTGATCTGTGATGTTGGGAGTTTGCGGGCTTCCCTTTTTAAACCCAACATCACGTGCTGATTGGAACTATTTTATTCACCTATGAAATTTCAGCGTCAATTTTGAATTTTCTAAAGTTACTTTTTATTGGTCAACTATTCTTTTTTTATGTAAAAGATTTATATGCTTGACATATATTTTATTTAGTTATGTAAAACTAAAGGCAATTAATGGATTATCAAAATCTTTACTTAATTTACAGAATTATTTTAGTGGACAATAGAAACACTTAAGTATTCTTTTCCTACGGCAAAATCCATACATTTTTATTCTTTTAAAAGATGACAGTTTATTTAATTTATTTCTCAACGTCACATTAATAGCTATGATCAAAAGAACTCTAGAAATGAGATTAACTATATTATTACCAAAAGACGAAACTCTTTATTACTTAATCTTACGTCACCTATTTTGTCTCAAAACTTTAGCAATGCAAAACAATTCAATTTTATTTATTTATTCGTTTATTTATCTAAGTTTACTATCTTTTACTTTCATCTTCCAGCATACAATTTTCCATCATTATAGTGCCGTGAAAGTACATATCTGTATAACAATAATATTCTGTATGGTTTTAATTTACTGATAACAAAATCAATATTATACCAATAAAAACAATATTCAAAGATTTAATTACAGTGTTGAATTGGTAACCTTTTAGAATAAGTTATTTAAAGGATCGTATCTAAATTTCCGGGCTCAGTTAATAACATCACCGTAAAATTGAGAATGTGCTATTCCGTTTAAAATTAGTTTTCTACAGGTAGAGCCAAACTTGTAACCAAATCTTTGTATCTTAGTTGGTTTTTTAATGATATGTGAGAGGACCACAGTGAATATTTGTTTTATGCTTACTGTGTCACACGTTAATAGTAAAATAATGTGTACTTAATTACTTATTAATCCATTGTGCTGAGTTGAGTATCACCGGATATTTTCTAGATCATTATTTGAAGAAAATTGTGACATATTATAACTTACAACTTTTCATAACGTCTCGTCCTTTTTCTGAAAAAGTTCAAACGATATCTTCGACCTTGTTAATAAATATTCCGTATCAACTTCACAAATAATACATGATGGTCTTGAAGTATTTGGTCTATTGTGGATAGTTGTCACATTGGCAATCATACCACATCTTCTTATTTTTATAGGTACAGACGTTGTTTATCATCTAAATTACGTGTTATAGTGTTCTTTTTTTTTTGTCTAACTCTTTGTATATTCTAACATTTACTGTTTAGTCCATTTTTAGTAATATACTTTTGGCGTGGCTCGGTATTTATACATCCCGCCATTGTGTATTGTGTTATTGTGCTACGGTCATTTTTATATTCTTGTCTTTCATTTTTGCTTACTAGTATGTACTTTATAGAGTGTCTATATGCCTTTTTGTTTTTCTTTGTGGAAAGAGTTGTTTGTTTTATAGTGAATAAGATTATAACACAATGTTGACTGCTGTACCCCTATTTTTGACATTTTTACCTATTATGTCTGTTTTTGTTTTGCTCACAAAATTGTTGTCAATATAATGGAATTCTATTCAACTGTCAGTCATACAAGTGAGAGGTTTAGCTAGCTATAAAACCAGGTTTAATCCACCATTTTCTACAGAAGGAAATGCCTGTCAGGAATATGACAGTTGTTTTCCATTCGTTTGATGTGTTTGAGGTCTTGATTTTGCCATTTATAAATGACTTTCCGTTTTGAATTTTCCTTGGATTTCGGTATTTTTGTTATTTTACTTTTTTGTAGATTACGACAGTTTTTGAATGAACAGTTTTCCGCTAGTATATTTGTCAATAATTTTTTTAATCAATTTGTGAAAGAATGCTTTTATATTATATATTAACTATCATATATCATATTTTTCACAGAAAATTACAACAGCTTTCAGGCCATCATCAAAATGGAAGCCAGCTATTAAAGAACTTCAAAGTGATTACTATGAAAATGGAACAGCAAAGCAAATGCGGTTTTTTGAAAAAGTAAAGCTTAATTTTATTGGGGAGAAATTTTAAGAGCCAAATAAATGAGCTGAAAAAAACATGTTATTTTGATCGCCAGGGACACAAAGTGTCTTAAAAGAGATTTTAGTTCTCGCTTACAGTGCTTTTTGTTTTAATAAATTCATAAAATTCATGTTGTTAATACAGTGGAAGTATTGCATTCTATGTGAATTGGATTTTTTTTCACATGTACACTTAAACAAATATGGCTTAATACTTTTTTTGCAACCCAGGAGTAAAACTCAACATGTAAAATATAACACGATAAAATTAGATGACAAAAGTCGGACAATGATCCCTTCAATAACTGAGATATCTTAATCGCCATACGAAAAAAAAAACCAAAAACATCTGTCGATACCTATATTTTGGCATTACACAAGGTCATGTATTTCTCTGACTGTTAATGACGTCTTTACACTAAATCCATTGGATGTTGGATTTGAACTTATTTCATTCTTAGATACATGATTTATTTAAAAGTTTTTTTTTTTGGCTTTCAACTAGCTTTAAAAAAAAGATATCAAAAGGGGGTATTTAAAACTTGTAAGTCGAGAACAAACTGACAATGGCAAGGCAAAAACAAAAACGACGAAAAGAAAAAAAAACAATACGCGAAACACAACAAAGAAATCTAAAGATTGAGCAACACAAAACCCAATAAAAAACCGGGGATGATCTCGGGACTGCGGGACAATTCGGTCCGGAGACAACTCGGATCGACTAATACGTCAACTCGGACCGTCTATAAAGTCAACTCTGAGTTTTGTACTCAACCGATCCTTATTGTCAATTTCTACATTTTAGTCAAGATATAAGGCAGAATTAACTGTTTCTGTTGTATACTTTATATCAATTTCAATTGGATATATGCGGTCAACATAGTCACCAAACTTTGAATTATTTAGTGAGTGGACATCATCTTTATAGCGGAACGTGAAGTTAAAGGATAATACTAGCATCTGCTCATTCTTCATAAGAAGCTCCTGTATGAAGTCAGCCTTATGTGAATAAAAGGAACAAGTCGATAAGATGAGGAGCACAGCTGGTTCCAATGGGAATGCCGATTATTTGTTGAAAAACGCGTTCTCCAAACGTAACAAATAAGTTGTCAGTAAAGAAATAAAGCATCTTGATAATGTCAGTTACAGAGAATTTTTTGTTTGAATCAGATTTATAAAGGAACATAAAACAGACCTATGATTATTCAGAAATTTCTCCTTGGTAAGTGTCCAGGGGGTATATGTTGAGTTTCCAAGTGAATTTTCAATACCTCCGAATAACAGATCTGTACTTTGTGTCTTTGTTTGTTTGTTATGTATCGATCCAATGAGTAAAGCACTTTTCAACTGATTTTTTATAGTTTGTTATGTTGTACTGTTACACCACTGTCCTAGGTTAGGTAGAGGGTTTGGTGCCAGTAAACGTTTTAAACCCCGCTACATTCTGTCTGTGCATGTCCTAAGCCAGGAGCCTGGTTGCCGTATGTTGCTGTATATCATATTTGTTTGCGTTTACTGTTTTTTTACATAAATTAAGCCGCTTGATTTTTCGTTTGCATTGTTTTACATTTGTCATTTCGGTCCCTTTAACAGCTTACTAAACGGTATGGGTTTTGCTCATTTTTGAAGGCCGTACGATGACCTTTAGTTGTTTACGTATTTTGGCCTCTGGCGGAGAATTGTCTCATTGACATTCATACCACATCTTCTTAATATGATAAGGATGTTAATAAAAGGCCACCGTACGACCCACGCGTTCTGGTAAGCTATAAAAGGGCTCTCAATGAATAATGAGAATTAGCCCCGAGGCTGTCTTTCAGTTTGTGAAGTGATAGACGTCATTTCTTTTCTGCCGTTTGTTACTCTTAGTTTCTAAATGAATAGTTAAAAAAGAATATTACTAACACCGTCATATCTCTTTCGTTCATTGTTACAAGATGACGCGGGTTTAGTCATGATTTTGACAATACTTCATACACCACAATTCATTTGAATACAACTGGTGTATGTAAATTGAACTGGAAGATTGAAAAAAAACCATAGTTTCCCATCGGCAATCGAAAATTGTTCAACCAACTGTTTTTAAGAACAACAATCTAATACATCATAATGTACACCGTAGGACACCATGAGAATATCAGACACTAAATATTTTGGTTGTATCTAATCTTTTATAGTTTTGTTTCATTCATGGGAGCAGGTTTTAATGAAAGAGAGAGAGAGTCAAGAAAATCTGTGCATTTCTGCACAAAACTATTTCTAAAAAAAACAATTTAATAGTATGTGCCAGGAAAAGCAAATATGGGAGGACATGAAAGTTGAAAATTCATTAATCTTGAGTTGCTAAAATAACTTTAACCTTTCATTCCTTTTTCTTCTATTGTTACGCTGCTGTAGCCTGTTGTTTATTACGTGCGTTATCGTGGCATCATTACAAATCTAGGCATACTCCAAATTAGAAAAAAACGGTTTTTATCAGGTACTGACCATTCATCTTTTATTGAAGGGGATTTTTTTCTTGGGACAAACAAACCTTTTTTACTTCAATCGAAAACAAAAAAAAATTGTTTTCAATAACATAAAGGTGTAATATTTTTTCAGATGTTTTTTTTTAAACCACCATGCTCAATTTATTTCCGTCTATTTTTTGTATGGAAACAAAATAACAATATGTCGACCGACCAACCTCATTTCTGAATTTGGTTTAATTTTTGAAATAAAAATAATGCCTTCGATTAAATCCTGTACATTTTTGTAGTTACGTGCAAAGTGTTACAAATTTGAAGAAATTGTGGTCAAAGGTGTGCAGGCGTGATTTTCATAAATCACAATTTTTTTTGATAATTTTGACAATCTTTTCGGGAATTTCCATGATAAGTGATAACACATTCATTGGAATCACGCTCTGGAAATGTTTCTAAAATCAATTTTGTTACATGTACGCCTGAAGTTAAGCCGAGTATTTAAAAAAAAAAGCTGTTGGTGGTTCTGCCACGGGAGCAATATGAAAGAAACCAAATACTCTTTGACAGACAGTAAGATTGAAAAACAAATGCCACATTCATTCGAAGATTGTCCAATTCATTTATTGCTCATTATAAAAACAAAATATAACGTCGATTTTTATTTTCTTATGAAATAAATTACTGTTCGTAAAATACTAATGGCAATTTCCCTGGTTATTTCTTGTATTATATATTTGCATTGAGAGAGAAAAAAATAGCCTGTTGTTATTCTGGTAACAATAGTGTCAAAAGATTCTGCCAATATCTAATTGATGATTATGATTTGGATCGGAGTATTAACAAACATTCAGTGCAGAAAGGCGTAAAGACATTTGTCTATAAAAAATGTCAACTCAATTTAATGTAGTATGAATGCAAAATGACAGAAACTGCAAGCTTAATTACATTGCCACAATGTTTCCAATCTTATTGGAAATATATCTTTAACATTTTCTCTGAAACTAAAAAGTACCATACTAAAAACACAATGATAAAATTATATTAATTCTAATAAAGAAAAGAATGTATATGCTCACGTTGCAATAACAATGAAAAGGGTGCTCATAACGCAACAAGATACCGAATATATACGAGCTTCCGAAATCACGCGAGAAATGTTTTTAATTTTATTTAATATCTGCATTTAGTAAATGTCCAAATGCCATATGGCGGTTCTTCTGAATACCGTAGTGTTCTTACAAACATAAGTAATCGTTACACCCTTTTTTGGCAAACTGGACGATTTTTCTTTTCATATTCTTTTTTCTGTTCTTGTTTGTGACGTTCACGTGACTTCATCGAATGGAGTGTACGTTTTTCAGTTAGTTTCAGATGCTCGTTTTTTCAGTAATGTCTGAGATTTCAACTAACGTAATATTTTCATTGATTAAAAACTTCTACGGAAGGGATATTTTAAAAACTTTTATAAATCATCGCAAATTATAGAGATTTATGTTGAATAGAAATGAAAAGATGTGGTATGCGTGCTAATGAAACAACTCTCCATCCAAGTCACAATGTGTAAAAAGTAAAGGTCAAAGTACGGTCTTCAACACAGAGCCTTGGCTCACACTGAACAGCAAGCTATAAAGGTCCCAAAATGACTAGTGTAAAACAATTTAAACAGGAAAACCCAACGGTCTAATCTATATAAAAAGATTCCGCATAACAATTTAATTAAAGTAAGATCGCACATCCAGCATATTACGGCTAGTTAATATATGGTAAAAGTGATTTTCTTGATTCTTTATACATTAGTAGTAAATATACTTTCTTTTAAGTCTAGGAGAACATCATTTATTAGTAAGCTGTTACATTTCGAGTATGGATCTTGTGTCTTTATGTTAGTTTGTTATTTGTTTTGTGCTTCGTGTTGATCTGAGTAGTCTAGCCATTTCAAACTGATGCTTATAGTTTGTTTATTTGTTGTGCTGTTATCACTATCTCGGGTTCGGGGAGGGTTGAGCGCTCACAAACATGTTTGGCCCGCCACATTAATATGTGACTGTCCAAAATCAGGAGCTTGTAATTCATTGCATTTCGTTTGATGCTGTCTGTCATATACGTTTTTCTTTTATTGTTTTGTCATAAATCAGATGATATTTTTTTCCGTTTGAATTTTTTCATGTTGGCGCCTTTTATAGCTGACTATACGGTATGGGACTTATTCATTTTAGCATGCCGTACCGTAACCTATAGTAGCTTAAATCCGATTCATTTTGAATAATTATACAACGTCTCCTTGTTTTATATTCCTAGTGGAAAGAAAAGATGGGCAGGGGTATTGATGCTAATAGACATCACCCTTCTTTCGTCCCCAAAGGGTATCAAAAGCCCAGGAGTCAGCAATTTTGTGTTAACATAAATCATCATTGATTCGAAATACTTAGGATTTTCTATCCCAGGAAAATATTACCTTAGCTGTTTTGGGCAAAAACTTTAGGAATTTTAGGTCCTGTATGCTCTTCAACTTCGCTCTTTTTTTTTTTTTTTTTTTGCCTATTTAACTTTTCTGATTCGAGCGTCACTGATGAGTCTGTTGTAGACGAAATGCTCGTCTAGCGTACACAATTTTAATCTTGGTATCTATGTTGTGTTTATTTACGAGATGTTTTCTAATGTAACAGATGAAAGGAAACATTCTAGATCTTAATAAATACATAGGCTTCGAAACTATCTAGCAGATCTCCAAGCCTTTCAAATCCTACAACCAAATATATGATTCACGTGTTCCCATTTTTAAAAGGAGCAACAAATACTATGCAGTCAACAAACAATCAAAACTTGAATGAAGTGTTCAATTTATATATTCATGTTTACAAATATGTTAGGAGAGAAAACAGTTAGACATTTATCAGAACTATATTATTAAGTTTTTCTCATATCTGTACTCGTTTGGGATTTGACGAAAAATACCATAGAAAAAAATAAAAGATTTAAACCGAAAAAAGACAAGGAAAGGGAACAAACAATGAGATATTAGTTTTTCTGTAGAAGCAGTATATAAGTTTTGCAATGTTTCCTTATCGTAGGCAGTAGTAGCTTCAAAAATACTATCACCAATCCAACAACATAGATTAACTACAGATAGTAAGAGGTAAACATAATTTCTTGGATTCAGGCGATACTTCGTAAAACTATTGAATTGAAGTATACAAACAATTTGTAAATACAATTCTAGTATTAAAAAAAACTTTTGGACCATGAAAAAGTATTTACCATCTTGTTTGCAAGAAAACACTATTAGTGATTGATATCCTATCGAACCTACAAAACTTACAATAATAATCTTGTGATGAAAATGGAGATGTTGTTTTCCCATAACTTCCCTTAAATAAGACCTTTTAGTAAACATATGAAAACTAACAATTAATAAAATTATCGCTAATGATGATAAAAAGGTATCGTAAGCTATGTCAGCATTTTCCGTGTATTCGGATTCATGCCTACAATAAGCTAAAATATAACTCGGTAAAACTATCACAACTCCGAAAACAATAAGCATAACAGGGCAGGAATCGTATTTAGCTTTGCTTTCTTGTGAGGCTTCTTGTGAGACTTCCTCTGAATCCGTAACTGGTAATAAAGAGGTGAGTAATGGAGTATTTACATTTGCCAGATGCGGTGCAAGCCTGCTAGATGGTGGTTCATTATCATTTGATGGCCAAAGTTCAGCAATTAATATCATTGAGAGTAGAAAGTATTCCATCTCTGCTGGCGTTGCATACGGCTTGATTGAGTCTAAAAATATTTTTGGATGGCACTTGTTTTTCATTAGACAATGCATACCATTGCTTTCAGGGTTTGTGTCTTTGTATATTTCAGCGAAATAATGAGCCCATTGTGAAATATTCGCCAGTACGATCAACAACAAACTATAGTAAATCGTCCACGAGCATTTAAAAAAGGAACGAATGCAAACTTGTAAAAACCAAGACTGAACAATATAAAATATTATTTGAAAGCAGTGAAACCTGACGGTCGCTACATCATGGCTTCTGTCATATGTGGCATTTGTGTCTATACAGCCTATTGTCTTGCCCTCCTCGAATAAGTCCTCGTGACAGCAAATTGTGCAAATAATTTTGGCAAGGGAAAACAGAATGCTTCCAAATGTAAAAATCCACAGAAATATAAATTTCACTTTTGAGTTGTATTTTTCATTGAAAGATGTTGATAAAACACTAGCCTGTCTCGATCGATACTCGATTATCAAGTGTACAACACAGACGAATATAGCTAAGAAAATTACGACACAAAGATATGAATAAATTAGGTGATTCGTCATTGTCTCGTCCTTGTCTTTATTAACCAACTGAACTCCGAACATATAGAGAACAGATATCAGTAAAACGCTTGAAAGAAGTACAAGTCCGCTAATACTGCCATCATGAGGTCGAATATTATCCCATGAGTGATGATTTTCGGATGCTTCGCCTGCTGTGAGTGGTAGGACTATGGCAGCATTTAAAAACTTTGCAAAGGATTCCATTGCTGAAAGAAAAAATCATTAAAGTTTGTTCAATAAAAATTTAAAGAGACGACACATAAAACAATTTAAAAAAACTACCGGTTTTTCGTTTTAAAAGGTTGTATAGCTAAAAGAATATTATGGTATCTAAAATCTGAGGCACGATTCAAAGTATGCACATATAAACTAAATTGAAATGTAAACGCAATACGAAGTAGCCAAGGGAAAATAGATCATGACCCAGAAGTTAATAATAAACAGTTGAGGTAAAACTTCATCCCGTTTGTTAGATTATAATTGTTATATGAGGAATATTCCAAGATAGTTCTGACGTATGACACCCTTGTTCTAAGATTTTCTGGGGCCGCGGGACGTCAGAGCACAGTCCATATAAAAACATTAAAGAACCGACCAAAACTTGAGGCGGCAAATTTCTGTCTCGATATCGTAATACATCCATTTTTAAGTAGGTAAATCTTACATTATTCGATGTCTTGTTTAGTTTTGTCCACGAAAATGCATTCTTATTACCTGTAACATTTCAACACTGAGGTTGAGAGTTCGAACCCTGCACGTGGCAGTTGCGTTCGGCTCAAATCTTAATTGACAAGGATTATCAGCTTTCCTGCTAAAGGTCGGTGGTTCTCTCTGTGCACTCTAGCTTCCTCCACCAATAAAAACTGACCGCCACGATGTAGTCAATGGTGCTTAAAGTGGCATCAAACACCAATAATCAGTCAACCTATTAACCAATCACCCCCGTGTCACACAAACAAAAGTTTTCTTTTCCTCAGAATACCACTCGCCTGACGTTATAATTTATTTCCAAAACACAACCGTAAAAGATATCAGATTTACTCAACAAGATAGTATAGCAAAAGTAAAGATAGCTTGAAGACAGGATCTGAAAGAAGAAGATTGAATTTTAAGATCACCACTACTCACTAAACGGAGTCTTTTTTATATATCTTCCATAGAAAATCTCTTGAATAAAGCTCATCCAGATTTGTGTTATCAGTCGTTGGAATAGCATGTCATTTGTAGGGTTTATTAATGAATATTTATGTGTGTATTTTTCTTATGCCTCATAAAATCTTTTTTTAGAAACTATGACATTGGCCTTATAAATAGTGACCTCGCAATCGGAATTTTCCTCTGATTATATGTGATCATATATCCACATCTGGTTTCAATCCCATTTATAGTATTTGATTTAGCACCAGGAAACCACTTTTCTGCACAAATTGCGATCTATTTTTGTTGAGCCTTCAAAATTTGTCAAGGAAGCGAGACATAGCAACCCTTCATTCCGGCATCTCGTCGGCTTAAAATATTTAAAAATCATCAAAGTGAATTTTTAAAACAATAAGAATTAAAATAGTTCAGTACCGTATTTTGCTGATTGGTTGTTCTCTATAGACACATACACGTGATATATATATATAATTTATTAATAAAGATCCATTTTGTTACATCTTGTGATCCGTTTATTTGGCAATCGCCAATGGCAGTCAGCAGGGTTTAAGAACATCCGTTGTTCGACCTGTTAGTCAAATGCGTTTTGTTTAATATACCTTTTCACTTTTTTGGTCTTTTGGAAAATGTTGTTTGTATTGTATTTAGACCCCTCTACCAAGAAATTTGTTTTGCATGCACATGTATAAAAATTGCGATTTTTATCCAACGCAATCATAGGTTTGAACGTTGTTTTCAATTTAGACTTATTTAATTTATATATTTTATATCCTTTACAAGGAAACTTTAAATATCTTGACCTTTACTTTGAATAATACCTGAAAGAAACAAAGACCAATCAAAACCTATTGCCACAAAGTAATACACATTACAGAGCAACCTGTGTAAACTGAATAAAGTGAGCACCATTATTTTGTCAACCTCTTATAGATGTTAACTGAAACAGTTTTATGCTTAAGAGATCTGCATTCTCAGCTGATGACCAGTACCTTGTGCAAATTAACCAAGATATATTACAAAACTGTTATGCAGTGTCTAACTATACAAATCCTTGGAATAAACTAACAAATGACTGCCACTATAAACTTTATACATTGTTTTTTTTTAATAAATACTCAAATTTTTGTATTGTGATGTGTTAGACTTTTGTAAGAATTTGCCCAAAACACTTTTTGAGGAATACTGTCTGTGCATTTACAAACTGTCATTATGTGCACTAATTTAGAACAGTTTTTTATTTCATTATTTATTTTTAATAGTTGTGTTATATTGACATGGTCTCATTTTTTTGTCATCTCATTATGATTAAGAAATTGTATGCAACACTGAATTTGGAATCACTACTGCTGCTTTCAAAGCAAGTCTAAACTATAAAACTGGTGAAAAGTGTTTAATTATATATATACAGAGCATTTAATATACTTGTGTTTTGAGTGAATAATGACTAGGTGGGGTTTTGTCAATGGTCACATATTGGACATAACATATTTACTATTAAGTTACACTGTTTCCAGGTCACACATAAATTTGTTGTTTACATGTAGGTGGAATAATTTAAGTGCCCTCCTTGCACATACCTATTTTTAACTTGTGCTTATCTTATTTTAAAAAAAATAAATAGACATGTGCTTACATAAAGTGTTTCACTATTTATTTGAGTGTTGTTTATTGTGGTCAAGAAAGTCTGTTTATAGATATAAAAAGATGTGGTCTGAGTGCCAATGATAAAACTAAAAAGTAAACCATCACAGCAAGCTATGACTATGTTAACGGTCATAACGGGCCCTAACAATTACTTGCGTAGAATCATTCAAGTTGGAAGACCAATATATGCATTCTGTTCATAGTTGTCATGAAAAAATATATAGAAAAATGCTTTACAAGACGCATCGGTACATATGCATGTCATGACCATCCAGTATCTCGGTTTTTTTTATTTTTCTAGAACAATTTTCCGTTAATTCATTTGAAAACCCTATGTTCACCATTCAATACTACCGTTTGTTGCGTAACAATAAATATTTTTCTACCTGCGCAACGATTACTAACGTTTTAAAGCATATTCACGATATCCGTTGTGTATTTATCCCGTTTGATTATCTGCAATGACCTTTCGACCTTAATGGGTGATCTCCCTTTAATTTTTTTTCGCACCTGCGCATTACAGAACTCCGAACTCGCTTATTACACATACACAACCCATTTATCTTGCAGAAATGCAAAGGGTATGTGCACGGTTAACAAAAAAATACAAAAGTGCTGCATGAACAGTTAATGAAGAAATTATTCCATCAAATAGATAAGATTTCCACTCACGACACAAATCGACTGGTTTGCCATTCTGTCATCGGGAATAATGGATAAATGGGATTAAATTGACAGCCAAGAAGGTCCAGAGAACCACCTCTGGAGAACCTTAACATTAATAAGTAATACTTACCAACATTTCTCTATACTAAACGCTATTTTCTATTGGAAAATTTCAGAAAGATGCTGATAAACTTATTTGGTGATACAGGTTATTTTCTTGTTTTGGCGCGAAATATTCTTACTCTTAAAGCTTACCGTAACAAAATTTGGATAGAATTATATTTAACTAAAGCTCAGCGTAAATATGTAGAAGCATGACAATACATTAATGATAAAATGTGTAAATATTTCTGTAAAAGAATATATAATTTTACTTTACCAGTATACTTCACTTAGAATTACATTTGAGCGCAAGAAAATCTCTTTGTAAATCGGCTGAATCCCGGGGTCGAAGTTCGACATATCAACGGAAATTTTTGCGTGTGCTTGCGTTGCTTCACATCGAGGCCACAGCTTTTCAACCAATCGGGGAATGTTAACTTAGGGGATACATCTATTTTTACTACAGGTTTTGACATGTTTAAATGGGGATTATAGAAAAATGGAATGTTGTTGGTAGATAAAAAACAGAAAATGATGAACACTTTTAGCAAAAGATAAATTGGATCGGGGGTCTGTGTATTCACATTATTTGTACAACTCTCCTTACTCTTGGGAAGCGTGTGCTTTACATCGAGGCTTGCGTTGCTTTACATCGAGGCTTGCTTTGCTTTACATTGACGCCATAGTAGTTCAACCAATCGGGAAATGTTTATTTGGGGCATACATCTATTTTGGCGGCAGGTTTTGTCATATTTTAATCGAAATTAGAGAAAAATGGAATGATGTTTAAGAGATAACTGTATTGTATTTGAAGCTTTGCGGTAGTTTTACTGTCGCAAATTTAGTTTACCTGGCGACGCGTAGCGGAGACAGGTAAACGGGTATTTGCGACAGTAAAACTACCGATGGACGTCCGCAAAGCTTCAAATACAATACAGTTATCTCTATTCTAATGCAAAACAAGTACATAATTCAATTTCAATCATTATCTCAGTGTAAAATTCTCATTAAAGAAAATTCCGCGAAAAGATGTTATCTTCTTTGGCCCCTAAACTAGGTGACGTCATATGTATGCTTCCGGCGTCAAACGTAAACACCGGGCGTTTTCTGGCTTCTTGGCCGCTTCAGAATGTAATTAAATTTGATAAAAAGAAGATTTCTAGGTGCAACATGTGAGTTTTTTTGCTTATCATTGTAAAAATTGCATGTCAATACATTCCACAATTCAAAATGTCGGCTTCCTTAGTTACAGACAAGGAGATAGAGAATTGTACGCTTACTGACATCCAATCAGAACCACTGATACAAACTAATTGCATTATAATAGGAGATACAAAACAGAAAATGATAAATATTTTTAGCAAAAGATGAATTGGATCGGGGTTCTGTGTATTCACATTATTTGTACAACTCTCCTTACTGATGGCAAAAAATGGAATTTCCGTGACCTAAATGGTTCGCGAAAATTAATATTTTTATATATAGTAAAGTAAATATACAATTGGGAAAAGATTTAAAAAAAATGCAAAATGGTAATGACGATCTTTATCAAGATATACACATGGAGACTTTGCCTAAAAAAATCTTAATATCGAACCAACTGCAAACAGCTGGTTTGAAATTGAATTACGAATATCGGATAACGAATAACGACCAGGTCATATTTTCTCAAATATTTTTACCTTTCGGTAAAGCTTAAAATATTTGAAAATCATCAGATTAAATTTAAGATATAATACAAATTGAAATAGTTCAGTATACATACGTTTTATCCTTAATACAAACTTTGTTCCAAAGAAAATGATGTCTGTTTGTCCCCTGCTATATATGTTCTGATATCTTCCTGGTTAGTTATGCTTGGTTATATAGAAAATTCATCCATCCATATCAGTTACAGACTGCAAAGGATGTAAAAATAATACCTGACACAACTTAACAATTTGTGAAAATTAATATGAAAATAATAAATTATCGTCATATCTAGAAACATAACTACTCTGTTGATATTGCTCAATTTAAATCGGTTATATTCATGCTTTACTTGTTAAAAGAACATTGTAATTTATTTTATTTCCATCTAGTCTCTGATTAATTATTCAAAACCTTTCTAGAATCAGGGCAATTCAGAGCTAGCCATATTGTATATACACTTGTCTTTTGTTGATTACCCAATGTCGACCTCTGATTGTTTTAAGTGTGCTTTCTTGTTGACGTCAACCCTTCTTCATCTTTTATAACCTGTATTCTGACATGACAACGTATACAACTTATATATCATGTAAGAATCCATATCGGTTTTGCTCTAAAGCATTCCCTATCTGCAGTTACAATTGCGGACACTTACCCTTTGGGCTTAACCGGTCTTGTTTCGTTTGAAGTTCACGCGATTCCCTCAGTATTTGTTTGTTATTTATATCTCTTTGTTCTTAATCGATTTACGAAATTGAACATCTGTAAATTACTGTTGTCTTTGTTTTTCACCAGACTTTTAATTTTTAACTCGTTTAACATTTTTCTTCTTCACCCTTTCTGTATGTTTATCAAAATTAATGTTCTGTGATCGTCTATATGTTTTGTTTTTTTGCTGTTTTTAACGATGATTTTGGACAGGGTTTGTTCCATTTCTTAGTCCGCATTGGTTTGTCAATTGTTGATATTACCTCGCATTTGTGCGAGTGATTTATGCATATATGTAGCGTTTATTGAATTAAGCAAAGTATTCCGCTTAAATCATAGCTACAGACCGTCTTAATTTTGCGAAGAAGGTAAACTCCTTTCATCACTTGTATGCCCTTTATTCTTACAAGCATAAAGTTATCAACATCCACGCATAAATATTTCTGATGAGAAATACATGAGCTTAAAAGAGATGATTTTTTAATTGTGAATTTTCAATTTCACATAGCTCACTCCATCAGCTCCTGCATATGGACTATGCACCTCCAAGTTCATATGTCATTTTAGGGCTTCCTTTCCCTATCATATACTCACAAAAGGTGGATTATTGCCTGCAATGAAGCTACTGAAAGAAAGGATCCTTTATGGTATAATTGAATTTATCTCTTTGTCAGGTTAGGGACCCTATAATGATTTGGACGGACCATTATGAAATAGTTGCGTAAAGATGGAGTGGATGTGTTTTACTTATAACTACAATCCTGTCCTCTTCATCGTTTGTGCCTTCACCTTATGCGACTTGCCTATCGTTTTTTACTTGTCATGAGCAAAACAAAGGATGCCACTAGTGTAATAGAAATTGATCACCCTTCCGCTTTTGGACACTCGAGTTAACTCCACTTAAGGATGGTGTTCGATTTAATAAACCTTAAATTTCTGTAAAGTGTTATGTGAACTGTTGTTCGTCTTTTCGTAAAAACAATCGTGTATTTTATAATACGTTAACCTAACACAAATACTGCAAGATAAGGTCATTTTCAAATATTATAAATCATAAATCTTTTGGGATAACATCTCTTTTTATTCATACTGGGGTTCCAAAATCTAAATGAGGACTTCTTCTTGAAATATGATCCTACAAGTAACCGTGTGAAATGCAAATGTTGTAATTGACACCAACAAGCGTGATAACATTAAATAAAAAAATACGATAAAGTTGTAAGATTTTAAAATTTCAAAGTGATACACGAGCGCCAATATAAATGTAAGATGCATATCTAGGGAAAGAAATGAAACTTTTTATCAACAAGGAAGTACAAGATAAAATGATATAATATACTAAATTGCACTCTTTCGACTGTTTTTGTCCAATGAATATTGAACAATGAACTATTAAATGATAAGATTCAAATGTTTAAAAGCCAAATAAAAGAAAAGATAACTGTACAATGTGTTTCCGATTTTGAGTTTTGGTTTTATGGTTTTTTGGGTTTTTTTGTGGTTGTTTTTTTTTTTTGGGGGGGGGGAGTTATTGATATAACTATACTATGTCATTTGTAAGTATAATGACATGGAATGTGGAATCAAATGTACTTCTAAAATATCCAAATTTAACACAAAAAGGATACATATTATAAGACTGTCCTTGACGTTAAAACACTAAATCCCTGGGATGTTTTTTTAGTTGATTTTAGTCTCTGATGCATGCTTTTTTTTATTATTTATTGTTTTTGGCTTTTAACTAGCTTTCAGTAACTGCGAGTACTCTCGAATCGTACTTTCGCATTAATTTGACCTGTTGGTACAATTTTTAATGTATACTTATTCAGTGTTATATCTAGTCTCACTATTTTTAATATATACCACCTTTGATAAGTGTTTAGTATGACGATAAATTTTCACTTTTGTTCTCGCACTAGGAACAACAAAATTATTTATTTTTGTAAAAATTATTTCCTTACTCCATGTATACCTTACAACAAAATTATTTTTATTTTTCTGTGTACGTTATTTTATTTGGCGGCATTTTGTCCAAGGTTATAGTTGTCTTTCTGATATTGTTTTACATCTAACCCCCTTGTTTTATTAATTTTGTATTTACATTGTGTTATAGATCAAATTTATTCGTTCGGTATATGTTAACTTGTCTTTGTTAATATGTCTTTTGATTGAGTTAAGCCATTTCAATTGATATTTTATAGTGTGTCTTTCTATGTTGTGATGTTACACTATTGTTTCAGGTAGGGCGAAGGTTGGCGCCTATTAAAACGTTTAAACCCGCTGCATTTGTTTGCACCTGTCCTAAGTCAGGAACCTGATGTTCAGTGGTTGTCGTTTGTTGATGTGGTTCATAAGTGTTTCTCGTTTCTCGTTTTTTATATAGATCGAACCGTTGGTTTTTTCTGTTTGAATGGTTTTCATTTTTTAGGCCCTTTATAGCTTGCTGTTCGGTGTGAGCCAAGGCTACGTTTGTTGAAGGCCGTACTTTGACCTATAATGGTTTACTTTTACAAATTGTGAGTTGGATGGAGAATTTTCTCATTGGCACTCATACCACATCTTCTTATATCTACATATGGTGGTAGTGACCTAATACGATATATATGGGGCCAGTAAAAATTCCATATGGGATGAGAGCGAAGGTCGAACCCCATACGGAACTTTTTGGCCCCATATATATCGTATTCGGTCACTTGCACACTGTGTTATTTCAATCCTTCATCATCAATTTCTTTGATTGTAAAAATGTTTTTGATTTTTTCATCAACGCCGTATTGTTTTTATAAAGGGACGTAACACCACTACTAACCGTGTATTAGAATAAGCCCCGCTTACTAACCCCATATGAAATAGACACGGTATCCACGCAGTAGCTTTTAACCAATGATATTCCTAGAAATGTATAGGATAAAAGATAATATATATTACATAAGTCTGGTATCTTTGATCCGTTATTACCAGACTGAAGCTGATATCTACTATGTTGATATGTTTAATAAAATCATATAAAAGATGAAAGGAATAAATTATAAAAAATATTGGGAACAGTAACAGACCACACCTATCACAAACAACAGGCGCCTCTGAGAAAGAAGCTTACAAACAAAAATAAACAACAGAAAAAATACACATGGTAAGATACCCTGACTTGATACACGTACAAAATGTGTGCGGGTTTGCATAGATTACCTTAGCCGTATTTGGCACAACTATTTTGAATTTTGGGTCCTCAATGCTCTTCAACTTTGTACTTGTTTGGCTTTCTAACTATTTTGACTGAGCGTCACTGATGAGTCTTGTGTAGACGAAACGTGCGTCTCGCGTATTAAATTATAAGCCTGGTACTTTTGATAACTATTTACACCACTGGGTCGATACCACTGCTGGTGGACGTTTCGTCCTCGAGGGTATCACCAGCCCAGTAGTCAGCACTTCGGTGTTGACATGAATATCAATTATATGGTCATTTTTATAAATGTACTGTTTACAAAAGTATGACTTATTCGAAATACTAAGGATTTTCTTATCCCAGGCATAGATTACCTTAGCCGTATTTGGCACAACTTTTTTGAATTTTGGGTCCTCAATACTCTTCAACTTTGTACTTGTTTGGCTTTCTAACTATTTTGATTGAGCGTCACTGATGAGTCTTGTGTAGACGAAACGCGCGTCTGGCGTATTAAATTATAAGCTTGGTACCTTTGATAACTAATTACGGCCGCTCGAAACCCTCCTTAAAACCCTAAGAGTTTCATATATTTTCCTGTGAAGGTAGGCTAATTTTGTGTTATTTACATGTTAAAAGTAGGCATTCAAGATAAAAATTGTGTCAAGTTGATTATTTTCTTTGACAGTCAGACAGCCATTGGAATCCTTTCCCTAAATTGGAAGATAAAAAGGCATAAATCATCTTCTTATTACATTCACTTTCTAAATCAAATAAATAGATCAGCATCACGGAATAAAAATAAGTTTTTGAAGGATCCGTGGACATGTAAGTGTACATGCTGACAGATTAGAAAAAAATGTAGCAAAGGAAGCCAATAAAATATCCAATGAAGCACAGTTACCTAGCAGGACATAAGAACAGCAGCATCATCATATGTAATAATAATAATGTAAGAAGTTTTTACTACAATTTTCATAAAAAATACAAGAAAAATTGTTACATGATTCCCAAGACAATAACACTCATGTATTATAACTAATTTTAGATCAGGACACTATCTCAAAAATTATCAACATAAAATTAACATAAATACAGATCCAAAGTGTGAATGTGGTCAACTAGAGACCACCCGGAATTATTTATTGCAGTGTATACGTTATGAAGAAGCAAGACAAAAACTAATACAAGATTTTGTTTTCATACAGGATCCGTACACCTTGATTTCTTCTTTCAAAACAGTCTTGAACATTAATACCAAATATTGAAATATTGATTACACTATGATAGTTTTGAGATTTTGCTACTAATCTGAAATCCAA